TCTTTTTTTAAGAGATGGAGTCTTGCTCTGTTGCACAGGTTGGGGTGCAGTGGTGCAATCATAGCTCACTGCAGCCTCTACCTCCTGGGCTCAAGCGAGCCTCCCTCCACAGCTTCCTGAGTAGCTAGGACTACAGGTGCATGCCACCATCCCTGCCTAATTTTTTTTTTTAAATTGTAGAGATAGGGTCTTGCTATGTTTCCCAGGCTGGTCTCAAACTCCTGGTCTCAAGAGACCCTCATGCCTTGGCTTCCCAAAGTGCTAGGAATATAGTTGTGAGCCACTGTGCCTGGCCTCACTTCTGCTAATCAAATTTACTTCTCAAAAGCCCTTCCATCAACTTATCATAAAAGTTTACCCCTAAAGATATAAATTTAGAAAATAAACTAAATTATAAGGATGCTAATTTTAAATATAATAAATCACAGAAAAATTGCAGATTTCTGTGTTTGTTTTAAAGCAGAAAACAACTAGATTTCATTTTTCTCAAGGTAGACGATGAGGTTGAAGAGTTAAAACCCAGCATATTGTACAGTAAAGCCTGAAGCACTTTTATGTATACAGACACAACAATGTTTGACAATATCCCTTTATATATACTAGAGCACATATAATGAGACACTCTCTCCCTACATTGTCCAGGTCTTACAAGTTTCTGCTCCAGGTATTCTATTAATCTCCTTGGAAATCCTATTAATTTCTTCTCTTAGTCAGAAAGCAATTTTGACTAGGGTTAACACGTTGACTGCCACACTAGAAAAAAGTAAGTTTTCCTTGGGGCCACGGTGTTTTATCATGAAAATAAAATAAAAACTTTGAAAACAAAACAATCCTTTCTAATTAAATGAAAAATTTATTTTTTAGTTTTCTGTGTGTGAGTTACATGCAACTTGAAAAATAGTTCACACGGCTCCCAAGGTAAAGAGATGTGTGAGTTACATATGCTTCATGAGGCCCCAGGCTCAAAACTAGCGTGAGTTGAACACAACTGACATGACATTTAATGCGTTAAACACACAACACAACGCTTTCTAGAGGACACAAGATATTAAAGGGAGATTGGCTAAACAGAAGAAACCACTGAATTTAATCTTTGGGGTACAGTAATTAAAGGTCACATTATTCCTGAAACTTACGATTCTAACTTATTTCTTATTCTCAATTTTAACAGCCCTTAGCTTTGAAAAATATTTTTCTTGTAGACAGATGATTTGTATTACCCTCCAAAAATTAAGTAGGGGGAAAAAAAGAAGAGGAAATGGGGAATCCACCCACTCCCACCCCTACAAACCTACCTATTTCACATAATGATTCAAAGGGAGACCAGAGGAAAGGATTTAAACTAAGGCTCTTTTGGTAACATTCTGATCCTTTGGCAAGCCGATCTGTCTTGCTGTGGAGAGAAGCAAATAGATGAAATGAGATACAAACCCCAAAACATTTATTATAAAGAAATTTTTGGCATAGAAAATAAGGTAAATCATATAAGTTCAGAGAGCACTCTTCTTGATGCTTCCCTAAATTATCAATTTTTCCTTTACCATCTTCTCTATTATTTAGGACAGTTCAAGTTAAAAGTCAGGTGAAAGTAAATAGGACATGAATTGAAAGAAATGCTAACAAAATAAACTATCATTGCCTTCTTGAATATTGCCATTAGTTTACATTTCCTGTCAGATATTAGTTACTAAAGGAGATATGGAAAACATCCAAATGCTTCAGTCTTATTCTTAATTCTTACTATAACATCCCAGTGGTAATTCTGAAAGTGATTTAAATGTTTTAAATAAAGCATATGTAAAGATCAGATTTTTTAACAAAGTAGAGGTGGTAGTAGCTTTTACTGAAAATAAAAATTTATGCTTCTTTCTAAATCAGGCTTACATTTGGAATCTGGACAGTATCCTTGGGAACATATGTACTTGGAACAATCTGGGAGGCATTGCTGCCTCCTTATTTTTTATTTATTTATTTATTTTTTTGAGACAGGTCTTGTTCTGTTGGCAGGGCTAGCTAGAGTGCAGTGGTATCATCGAAGCTAGAGTGCAGTGGTATCATCGAAGCTCACTGCAGCCTCAAATTCCTGTCCTCAAGTGATCCTCCTGGCTCAGCCTCCTAAATAGCTGGGACTTACAGGTGCATGCCACCATGCTCAGCTAATTTTTCTTATTTTTTGTAGAGATGGGGCCTCATTATGTTGCTTAGGCCGGTCTTGAACTCCTCAAGACCACGCCACATTGCCTCAAGTGATCCTCCTGCCTGGGGCTTCCAAGGTGCTGAGATTACAGGCATGAGCCATCGCGCCCAGCTGAAATTTAAGGGAAAAATAATTGTCACAAGACTGACATAATCACCTACCAAGGATAAAGGAGTAACTTAAAAATAGGAAATGAAGAGAGGGCATAAAAAGACCGTTTTCTGCCGGGCGCGGTGGCTCACGCCTGTAATCCTAGCTCTCCGGGAGGCCGAGGCGGGTGGATTGTTTGAACTCAGGAGTTCGAAACCAGCCTGAGCAAGAGCGAGACCCCGTCTCTACTAAAATTAGAAAGAAATTAATTGGACAACTAAAAATATATACAAAAAATTAGCCGGGCATAGTGGCGCATGGCTGTAGTCCCAGCTACTTGGGAGGCTGAGGCAGGAGGATTGCTTGAGCCCAGGAGTTTGAGGTTGCTGTGAGCCAGGCTGACGCCATGGCACTCTAGCCCGGGCAACACAGTGAGACTCTGTCTCAAAAAAAAAAAAAAAAAAAAAGACCGTTTTCTGAAAGTAATAGGGAAGAAAGTGGCAAATTAATGCTTGGGAACTTTTAACATAAGGCTAGGAAAAGGAAAATACAGTTGAAATCTCAATATCTGAGGATTATCCTAAGCTTCTAACATTTCTGTGACTATTTTTCTTCTATATTTTCTTCTTTAGCTCCTAAATAAAGCCATTCCTTCCAAGAAGTTGGGGGCACATAAATTTTTAAAAATAATAAAATAAATAAATGAATAAAGCCATTCCCTCTGTCCTCAGACCCCTTCTTTATAAAACCTTTTCTGGTGAGAATCTCTTCTATAGAGATGGCAACTAAATCTATTTCCCTGACTTCAAACTCATCTTTCCTCTGCCTACCGGCAGTTTCATCTAGGTTTACTTCCTTACCTAAGGTTTAGTAAGTTCAAAATCAAGTTCATCTTTTCTTCCCAAATCTGTTCTTTCTCATTATTTTTGTGCGTTTTAAGGGCATCGCTATTCTTAAAAGTTCACATACTCAAACATTTTATCTTTGGCTTAAAGTTTCTTCTTCATTTTCACTGTTACGATCCTTATTGCTTCTCATATAAACTGTCAACAGATCCCTAGTTAATGCCTCATGTTTCTCTTTCTCTTTTCGATTCATGCTATGTAGGCAGCTCCTCTCTTATATAATAGTATTAACCATAGTCTGCCTATTTATCTTTTCATGTGTTCTCTCTTGCAATTTATTATAAGCTTTCTGAGGACAGGTAATTAAATCTTCGAAACAGACACTTTTATTAATAATTTTAAAAGTTGCATTAAGTAGGCTGTATGGTTTATGCAAATGGCCAGAAAAGTGGTAGACAGTGATTTAAGCACGATAAAACAATCTACTCAGGGAAAATATTCTGGAAATGTCAGAGGTGGTCCTTTGTGATGAAAAACCTGTTTTCTAATATTACTTAAATTATAATTGTATTTTCTTTTTACATTAGCAAAAGAAAAATTCTCTCAAACTTTTGATAAGTTGGCAAGGCTGACTTTTATAATGAGCCATGATCTGATTAATAGACCATAAAACATAAGATATTTAAAACAAAATTAGTGTCTGCTAAGAGATTAGATACACATACATGGACAGATATATGTATAAATGATACAAGAGCTACCTTGGGGAAGAAGCCAGGTGTGGAGTTATAATAATCTAGCCTGGGAGATAAAACCTTGATATTCAATAGAGAAAATATTATAAAAGGGGACAAAAATTTAAGAAAATTAAACTGCATGGGGTACTCTAAATTTAGATGGAAATTTTCACTAAAATTGAATGGCTATAACACAAAATCCAGCCAGGAGTTTCCCAAAGAATAAGGGTAAGAAAATCTATTTCAATGGTATTGGGAAGAAATCAGTTATTTTAGGAATCAGACTTAATATCAGCTGTGTCCTAAACATAGAAGTCTCACGTGCTATGACAGACAAAAAGACTAAAAAGTCTAGAAAAATATCTATCTCGGCTGGGCACCGTGGCTCACACCTATAATCCTACAGGAGGCCCAGGTAGGAGGATTGCTTGAGCTCAGGAGTTCGAGACCAGCCTGAGCAAGAGTGAGATTCTGTCTCTTTAAACAGAAAAATTGGCTGGGCATAGGGCCATGCGCTTGTAGTCCCAAGCTACTCCCGAGGCCCGAGCTGGAGCTTGCAGTGAGCTATGATGATGCCACTGCACTCTAGCCAAGGCAACAGAGCAAGACCCTGTCTCAAAGAAAAAAAAAAGTCTATCTTCTTTAGCAAAAAGAAAAGAAAACTTAACATGCCCTACCTACAAAACCATATGTATGTATTGAGATTATTGGGTGTAATTCTGGTCGAAGACAGGTATATGATGGCTAAAATGAAGAGCCACCTTTTCTCTGGACTAATGGTTCAACAAAAAAAGAAAAAAAGAAAGAAAGAAAAGAAAAATGAAAAGCCAGTTTTCAGGCAGGGTTATTCCACTTTTGATACTCAACCTTTTAATCTTTATGATGAATAAAAGTAACCTATTCACATGCCTCTGAAAGAGGAAAAACTGCCTTCTTCATGACCTGCTATAGCGTATGTATTTGTGTACCTATATGTATACATGCTTACCACATACCCTTCTGAGGACCTCATTCAACTGCACTTTTGAAACTTTATTAGTAATTTTATTTTAAAATAATTAGTAATACATATACAGTCATGCACCACATAACATTTTGGTCACTGACAGTGTATAAGATGGTGGTCCCGTAGGATTTTAATATCATATTTTTATCGTATCTTTTCTTTATTTAGATATGTTTAGATACACAAATACTTACCATCGTGTTACAATCGCATATGGTATTCAGTAACTACAGTAACATGCTGTACAGGTTTGTAGCCTAGGAGCATGAGGCTATACCATATAGCCTAGGTGGGTAGTAGGTTATACCATCTATGTTTGTGTAAGTACACTCGATGATGTTTGCAAACAACAAAATCACCCAAGGATGCACTTCTCAGAGTGTATTTCCATCATTAAGTGACTTATGACTGTATAGCATTTTTGTGATTTTAACACTTTATTTTCTTTTTTTAAACTTTATTTTGGAATAATTTTAGATTCATATAGAAGCTGCAAAAATAGTACAGAGTTCCCATGTACCCTATACTCGGCTTCTCTCAATATCAACATCTGACATAAACTTGGAAACCGACATTAGTATAATACTGTGAACTAAACCACAGAGCTTATTTGGATTTTAGTAGTTTTTACATGTACTCATTTGTGTGTAAATATACTTTAATAAATTTTATCACATTCACAGATTTGTATAACCACCACCATAGTCAAAATATAGAACTGTTCCAATATCAAAGAAATTTCTTCAGTTACCCCTTTATAGTTACATTCTCACACTAATCCTGAGAATCGCTGGTCTGTTTTCTATCACTATAATTTTGTCATATCAATAATGTTATATAAGTGGAATTATATAGTATGTAAACTTTTGAAATTGGCTTTTTTCACATGCCATAACGCCCTTGAAATCTATCCAACTTATTGCATGTATCAATAATGCAGTATATTCCTCTTTATTGCTCAGCAGTAGTCCACCGTATGGAGTAGTTTATCCATTTGCCCATTGAATTTGGAGTCTTTCCAGTTTGGGGCTTTTATAAATAAAGCTACTATGAACTTTCATGTATAAGTATCACCTTATTCCCACCAGCAATGTATGAGGGATCCTGTTGCTCTGCATTCTCACCAGCACTTGGTACTGTCAGTAGTTTTTATTTTAGCCATTCAAATAGGTGTGCAGTGCTATCTAATGGTGGTTTTTAATTGTCCTTCTTTAATGGCTAATGATTTGGTTGTCTTTTCAGCTGCTTATTTACCATCCATATATCCTCTTTGGTGAAGTGTCCATTCAAGTGTTTTGCCCATTTTCTAATTGAACCAACTTTTTATTTATTTAATATTTTAATTTTTTTGGAGATAGGATCTTGCTCTGTCACCTGGGCTAGAGTGCAGTGGCATCATCATAGCTCACTGCAAGCTCAAACTCCTGGGCTCCAGTGATCCTCCTCCCTCAGCCTCCCAAGTAGCTGGGACTACAGGTGAGCGCTACCATGCCTGGCTTTTCAATTTTTTCTTTTATG